AAAATAAAATAGAATAATACACATTGTAATAAGCTTTTTTTTTTTTTTTAAATTTTTCTATATTAATAATTTTACCTTTTTTTTCTTATATCAATTTTGGTATTTATTTTATTTAAAAATTAATTAAATTATATAAAACAATACAAAAAAAGCTGGGGATATTAAATGAAATCGATCTCTTGATTGGGAATTGAACATTTTTTTCCAAAAATAGCTTTGAGTAGGTTTTTTTTTAAAATTTAATTAAAATAATAGTTTTTTTATAATTTTTTTTTTTTTTAAATATTTTATATTTAATTTTCAAAATTATAAAGACATTTTAAAATTTAAAAAATAAAATAATTTAAAAATAAAATTTTAAAATAAAATTAGAATTATAATAAATAATTTTATTTTAATTTTATTTTTTTTGAAAATGAAATTTTGAAAATTGATTCAACATTGATGGTTCCAAATTAAAAAAAAAACACACACAAAATTGAAAACACACTGTATATTTTTTTTTTTTTTGTTTTTTTGATAACACATTAATAAATGAGTTTAAAAAATGAAAAGAGATTGATTAATACACAAATATTTATAATGATATGATGTGATGAATTACAGTCAACCAACCAAACAAATATATAAATTAATAAATAAATATAATGATTTTTTAAAAAACAAAAAATAAACTAAAACACACTTTTTTAATAACATAAATACCACAGTTGATTTTTTAACTTTATACTAACCTCTTATTAATTGTTACTATTACTCCAATAGTAGAGTTTTTTTTTTATTATATAGTAAAAAACAAATAAATAAATAAATAAATAATAAATAAATAAATAATAAATAAATAAATAAATAAATAAATAAATAAATAAATAAATTAATAAAAAAAATAAAAATCTCTTCTTCTTCTTCCTTTTCCCTTTTATATGCTATTGTATAACTATTGGTCTAAGAATTTTATAGATATTAATATATTAAATAATTTTTTATTTTATAAATCTCTATGTTATTTTATTAGTTTTTATCTTTTTTGTAAGTTCATTCTATTTTATTACTAACTATTAAATTATTTATGTTTCGACTTTTATCATTTTAGATAGTAAGAAAAATAATATAAAATAATTTAACAAAACTTTAAAATAAATGAATAAAAATTAATAAAAAAAAAAAGAAAAAAAGAAAAAAAAAAAAATTAAAAAAATAAATGTTATATTATAAAGGATAATAATTATTACTTAAAGTATTTGCAAACATAAACCTACACATATCCACTAATATATTTCACTCTATATAGAAATTTACATGTACTAAAACTTTATAACAATAATAATAATAATAATAGTGATGGTGAGAAAAAAAACAAATCCACAAACAATACAATAAAATTGACTTCTAACCTAATAATATTGATAGATAAAAAATATATATTATGGATAGATAAAAAGACACTTTAAGATCTATCCTCAAAAATAAATAAAAAAATTAATAAAAAGAAAATAATAAAACTATACAACATTATCATTTTAATTATTAATTATAATTATAATTAAAAATTATCATGATTATGATTTTTAATAGTTTTATTATCATTATTATTAAATCTAATAGAAATTGTATGCAATTATTTATATGGTGATTTTGTTATTATGAGAGGGGTAGTGTGGTTAAAGATTTTGGTGTGTGATTTTTTGTCTGAATCTATGTGTGTTAACCTAAATTAGGATTCTAATTTTTTGTCCACAGAGAAAATCTTTTTTATAATTTATCTCTTTTTTTTTTTTTTAAATAATCTATCAAAATATTATTATTTTAGACATAGGATCTATAATTCTTTTTTGTGGTTATATTTCATAAAATTTATTTATTATTATTTTTAAAATATGATTTGTTTAAAACTAAAAGAGGTTTTTTTTATCAAAACTAAAGGAGGACCTAAAATAAAACAATAATCAAATATATTTGATTCTGATATGGAATTAGAGATTGTTCAAAATAAATCGAAAGACATGGTATGAATCTAAAAATGGTGTAAAAAAAACAAATAAAAAATAATTATATTAAAAAAAAGGGAAAATTCTATGAAATGATTATCGAAAAAATACAGAAAATAGTAAAAAAAATAAAAATTAAAATAAAATTTTTTTTTTTTTTTTTTTAAAAATATTTTTATTTTTTTATTTTCATTTCATAAATTATTTATCTCTCGATTTATTTATTGCTTTTTCTTTATTTAATATAAAGTCATACACACAGACATACCTTATATATATTTATTTATATAGAATTGCATATTATTCCACAAACATACATAAAAACTAAGTTAATATTTGTAAAAAAATTATAGACATATATAAAAAGAAACATGGCATCAAGAAGTTTTGAAGAAGAATTGAAATTTATTGAAAAAATAGATTCAGTTAGATATAGAGTTAAAAAAGGATTTGTTCCAAATATGAATGTATGTATTTCAAATTTTACTGGTTTTGTTATTTAAATTTATATCTTTTTTTTTTTTTTTTTTTTTTTTTTTGGAGAAAAAAAAAAAAGATTGTATTTTTTAGTTTAAGGACTTTTAAAAAATTAATATTCAAAACTAATTTAAAAAAAAGTATTATTCCCCATTCTATATTCTATAATACAAAATTCCATTATACATTCGCTCCAACAACATGATATTGTTGTTTATTGTTGTTGTTGTTGTTGTTGTTGTTTATCATCTACAAACATTTATTCAAATTCATATATAGTATATAGTAAATTTAATAAAAGAATAATTTTGTGTTTTAATCTTAGATTATAATTATAAATTTTTTTAGTAAATATTTATTATTATATTTATTTATTTTTTTTAAAAATATCTACAAATCTTTTTGTTTGTGTAAAAATATATTTATACAATTTAAATAATATCTAATAATAATTATTAACTTTTTTTTTTTTTATTCTTAATTTTAAAGGTTGATGGTATGATTTATGTTAACGATTCAATTAAAGATTATTTATATGATGAATTGGAGCAATATTCAATTCGTGGGGTAAATGGATTTTTACCAGCAGTTAAACAAATTGCAAATGTAGCAAGTTTACCAGGTATAGTTGGACACTCATTAGGTATGCCAGATATTCACAGTGGTTATGGTTTTTCAATTGGTAATGTTGCAGCATTTGATACAGAGGACCCATTATCAGTTGTATCACCAGGTGGAGTTGGTTTTGATATTAATTGTGGTGTTCGTTTACTTAGAACTAATTTAACAGAAAAAGATATAGAGCCAATTAAAGAGCAACTTTGTCAATCATTATTCGATCATGTACCTGTGGGTGTAGGTTCAAAAGGTGTTATTCCAATGAATATGAAAACATTGAATCAAGCATTAGAAATGGGTATCGATTGGTCAATGGGTGAAGGTTATGCATGGTGCGAAGATAAAGAACATTGTGAAGAATATGGCAAGATGCTTAATGCTGATCTAAAAAGTTTCAGAAAGAGCAAAGAAAAGAGGTCTCCCACAATTGGGCACATTAGGCGCAGGTAATCACTATTTAGAGGTTCAAGTTGTAGATGAAATTTTTGATAAAGCAGCTGCAAATAAAATGGGTGTAGATAGAAAGGGTCAAATTTGTATTATGATTCATAGTGGTAGTAGAGGTTTGGGACATCAAGTTGCCACCGATGCATTAACTCTTATGGAAAAAGCCATGGCTCGTGATCACATTCATCTTAACGATAAACAATTAGCTTGCTCAAGAATTAACTCTCAAGAAGGTCAAGACTATTTAGCAGGTATGAGTGCCGCCGCAAATTTTGCCTGGGTAAACAGACAAAGTATGACCTTTTTAACAAGACAAGCATTTGCAAAAGCTTTTAACTCAACCCCAGATGATTTGGATATGCATGTAATTTATGATGTTTCACATAACATAGCTAAATTCGAAGATCATACGGTAAACGGTAGACCAAAGAGATTACTTGTACATAGAAAAGGTGCTACACGTGCATTTGCTCCTCATCATCCTTTAATTCCAGTAGATTACCAATTTACTGGTCAACCAGTATTAATTGGTGGTACTATGGGTACATGTAGTTATGTTTTAACTGGAACCGAATTGGGAATGCAAGAAACTTTTGGTAGTACTTGCCATGGTGCCGGTAGAGCATGCTCAAGAAATAAATCTCGTAATAATTTATCATATACCGATGTTTTAGATAGTCTTCAATCAAAAGGTATTAGTATTCGTGTCGCCTCACCAAAACTTGTAATGGAAGAAGCTCCAGAATCTTATAAAGATGTTGTTCAAGTTATCGAAACCTGTCACACTGCTGGTATTTCCAAAAAAGCAATTAAACTTAGACCAATTATGGTTATTAAAGGTTAAGGTTTTGCATAAATAAAAATAAAAAACTTTTTTTGTATATAGATTTAAATTAAATAATTTTATCTTTTTTTTATAATTTTTATTACTATTACAATTACTTTATTTTTGTATTTTTTATTTTATATATTAAAAATTGGATTAAAAAAAAAAAAATATTATAGAAATTATAATATCAATATTTGTTGGTCGAAATTAATTTTTTTTTTTTGGAAAAAAAAGGATGCTATATGGTGATTAATTGATGGTGATTTTATTTTATACAAGGGGTTTGATTGTTTTTTTAAAAAATGATTATATTATTATTATTATTATTATTGGCTATTAATTTTTTGAAGCAAATAAAACATCTTCTTCTAAATCTTTTAATATATTCATCAATCTTGAGAAAGATTCTTTTTCTTGTTCAGTCTTTGGCTCTGATTCAGTTGATTCCATTTCATCTATCATATCTTGACGTTGTTTAATTAAATGACGATAGAGACAAGCCAATTCTTTTTCTAAAATAATTGGGTTTTGAACGGAACCAGGAGGACAATCATTAGGTACAATTGATAAAGTATTGATAAATTGTTTCATATTGTCCATATTATCGATTACAAACTTGTTCATGTCTCTCATAAAATCTTCTTTGTATTCACCAAACTCTACTTGGTTTGCAAGGTTTTGAAGTGTTTTAGCAATGAGAATAAGTGAACGAGTTGTTTTGATACCTGGATGATCTGGCATTAATTCGAAAAGTTTTGGAGCTAAAATAGCAGGGCAAAAGAAACGAAGGAAAATGAAACCACTGACGGCAGTATAACGAGTAATTTCATCTCTTGGATAACGTTGAACTACTTTCTCTTGAATGGATCTAAAAACTTCTCTTAATGGACCTGGACAATTGTTTACTGAACTTAAAATAGCATTGGTCATTTTCTTTACCCAACTCAAAAGGTTTTTACAATTCTTTTTGATATCTTCTCCCTTTTCTAATTTTGTTGGGTCAATTTCACATGACTTTTTGCTAGAGTAAATCTTTTTGATTAATGGACCAATGGTTTGTGCAAGATATGGAATACCAATTAACTTCATGTATAAATCGACACTCTTTGTAGCCAATGAATTGCCTCTGAAAATAATATCTGGGTTATTAGTTGAATCGATTTCGTGATCGGTCAATGATTTTAAGAGATATAAGCAATTACCAGTCTTTTCAAATACTCTGATGAGATTATTCGAAACTGCTTCTCTGTGCTTAGTGACTTTACCCAAGAGATGAATAGTGTAGAGATGTTCTTCTTGTAAAAGGTTTAAAAGTGGGGAGTAACTTTGGAGTGGTAAAACAACTTCTTCAGAGTATTTAAGTTTTAAACGAATATCACCAAACTTATTTTCGGCGTTTGGTTTTGGGTATAAACAGAGCCATTGATCGCATAGTGTTTCGATATCGATGTGTGATGCTAAAACTGTACCTTGTCCAATAAAATATTGTTCATATCCATCCTTTGGATCAATTGCAACTGCACTATTGTTACTTATTAAAGATGATGTTGAAGTATTAGATGAATTTAAAATGCTTGGTGATGGTAAATCTGTATGTGAAGAAGTTGGTGTGGTATTTGGACCCTTTGGTGTGAGTAATGGTGGAGTGGTTGAAGCATTTGAGGATGATCTTGTTTTTGAATCTGGTGATTTAACTCCACTGTCTTTTGGCGGTGTTGATGGTGTTGTTGAACCACTACCTGGAGCTCTTGGTGATTTAAGACCACTTGGATCATCTTCCATCATTGAGGTACTATGATAAGTTTTTGGCTCATATTTCCAAACTACAAATGTAATGCAATCAATTGATTCTCTTAATTCTCTTGTAACACCATTTGTGAGAGCATCTGCCCATGAAATACCCTCTTCGTCAATAATGATATCACCTCTCTTTGAACGAACTGACCAATTAATGTATGGGGTTGATGATGAATAAGTATTTGAAATATTGTCTGCAGATGTAGAACCACCCAATTGACTTGTAGAAGCAGCAACACCACCTGAAGATGGGGCACCATTTGGAGTGGCAGCTGAAGGAGATGCTAATGAATGTGATAAATTTCTACCAAATAAAATTTTCCAATGAATATGGCCCGGTTGTGATGGATCAGTTAAACTAATTGGTTTGAAAGTGAATTGAATTTGAATTTGTGGAACCTTTTTACTTGAGCTTGGTGTAGTTAATGGGAACCAGAGTTCTCTTTCTTTTTGATCCTTTAATGTATTGATTGGGATAACTAATTTACCAATGTGTTCATCACTTGAATACTTTTTATCGTCCATAATTGATAATACTACTTTAGCTGAACTTGGATCACTGATTTCCATTTGAAACTCTTCACACCAAAATGGATTTAATTTTTTGGGAATTGTACGTGTACGATGTTTTTGCTTGTCCAATGATACAATGCAATATGGATCTGTAGTATCAGAGAAAGTCATTAAATTTGGTGATGAAATTTCTGTTAAAAGATTTTGTGCACGTTTGAAACTCTTGCCACTTTTTACATCCCTCTTTCTAAGTCTAGCCTCAATCAAGTTTCTTGCCTCAAATACTTTAACTGTTAAATTACAATCTTTGGTTTTTTGTTGTTTTAATAATGACTCATAAGTTGATGATGATGTCAAAACATTGGATTTTCTTGATGACTCCAAAATATTAAATTGTTGTGGATCATTGATAACAATATTATTATTTAATGTTAATATTGGAATTGTTGGTGATTTCACTCCCTTATTATTTTCTTTAATTGGTGTTGATGGCTCTGAAATTGTTGAACTTGTATCATCATCTCTAATATTTATCTCTTCTATATTTTCTTTAATAAAAAAATAATGAAAAAATTAATAAATAAATATTTAAATAAAAATTTTTTTTTAAAAAATAATAATAATATGCTTACTATTTAACTCTTCATTAACAACAGTTGATGATGTTATGGGTGGTGTGGTTAAATTGATATCTATAGTTTCTGCTATCATTTTCCTGTGATATTTTTATTTATATAATATACAACCAATTTGAATTTGGTAAATTTTTGATTTAGATGTTGAAAAAACTACTATTGAATATTTTGAACTATATATTTATTATATATGATTTTTTATAAAGTAGTGCTATTACTTTAAATTCGATATGTTTAATTATTTTTTAATTTTACTATTAACTAAAAAAAAAAAAAACTATAAAAAGATAATAAAGAATGAGTGATTGAAATTATTTATTTTAATAATGACAATAATATGTATAAATAATAAATAAATAAATAAATAAATAGTGTATATATAAAGATATGTATAGTTTAATAAATAATAAAATTATAATAAAATTATAAAAAAACAATAAAAAGGTCCAGATAAATAAATGTTATTGTGTTTGTATAGATAGGGGGTATGAAATGTTGTGGTGTTTTTTTTTTTTTTTTTTTTTTTTGATGAATCTAATTTAGGTGTGCACTTAATTATTTATCTTATTAAACAATTAAAATACACCAAGCCAAAAAAGACTTTAAAATCTAAACCCTAAAATATATAAATAAAAATAAATATGTCAATATAAAAAAAAAATTTGTTTGTTGGAAAAAAAAATAAAAAAAATAAAAAAAAATAAAAAAAAATAAAAAAATAAAAATAAAAAAAATTATAAAAAAAATAATTATAAAAATAAAAAAAAATAAAGAAAAAAAAAAAAAGATTTTTTGCAAATTTATTTTTTTTTTATTTTAAAAACTATCAAACGAAACCTTTTTGTTACACCACTGTAATATGGGTCAAAAAAGAGAATTTAAGAAAAATAAAAAAAAATTATATTTCTTTTCGTGAAAATTAAGATATCAAAAATATTTCTTTCTCAAAAAAACATTTTTTTTTTTTATGAACTGTGTTTTTGATCTTAAATAAATTGCCTATTTAAATTAATTAATAAGCAATCAATTTAGTTCGAATTAAAATTTTGTTATTATGATACAAAAATATGCTATATTTTTTGATAGCCAAAGAAATAATATTTATTTTAATATATTTTATAATTATTAAATTTTATTATTGTTATTAACTCTATATATTATAAAATTTATTTCCAACTGTTTAATTTTTATTTTAGATTTATTTTTTTTTGTATTATTTTATTTTTGATATAAATTTTATTTTTATTTTTATTTTTTTTTATAATTTTTGGTGTATGTATGAAAATGAGAATGAAGGGAAATTAATTAAAAATAAAAAATAACAATATTAAAATTATTTATTTTGTTTTATTAATTAAAATGAATATATATTTATTATTTTAACAAAAAATAATTTTATTTTTATAATTACTATTATTAAAATTACTATTACTATTACTATTAATAAAATATTATTAATATTAATAATTACTA